CTCACGCAAACTCCGAGAAGAGGAGGCTGCAGTGAATTATAGATAGCCCCGGAACTTCTAAGAGACTTTTTCGCGATAGGTCGAGCGTCAGTGGTCCGTGAACTGACGTGGGTGTATTGAAAGTATAAAAATCATCTACCGTACTACCCTTTGTTTCAATCAAATCCTCTCTTCCATTTCATTGAATATGTTGCTTCGCACGTTCACTGTCGCGAGATCGATTCCTCGCCGCAGGGCAACTGGAGCCCTTCATCTGACAGCCAGAGACAAATGATTAGCGTACGAAAGCCGAAGGGGAAGAGCGCTGGCGAAAACCCTCTTCATATGGAGGGGAGTAAAGTTGATGAAATTTGCCAAAGGAACGGAAGGACAAGTACTTATGTACTTTATGACGCAAGTGGGAATAGTGGGGATTTTAGACGCTAGAGCTGTTTCACTGCAATGGCCAAGAGAGGATCTACCCGCCAGCCCTACAAGTTTTTCGGGATCGATTCTCCCTTACCCCAAGCAGGCCTTGTATTCCCGCAAGATCTGGCGTTTCATGCCAAATGGCCTCGGAGGTTGAGAAAAGGAGAGCCACTTTCCGAACAAGGTCTGGTCATCGCAAACCACTTTGTAGGTTCGATACACTTGAAATGCCATTTATTATATTAATGGGGAGTTTAGAGGGGTCTTTTAATCGATCAGTACTAGGCCATTTTGGTCAATTTCGGATTCTATCCCACTATTGGGCGAAGGTGGTGTAGTGGCATGTGCCATGCTTACCACCTGCACGGTCCGAGACCGGAATCGGCTCCAGCCCAGGCCAAGCCAAGCCTTCTACCCTCCGGGGACGGTAAATTGGTACCAGATTCGTCTGGGAGGATAAAACACTGACTTGTACATCGGCTGGCCACCGCAAGTCATTGTATAGGCCACATCGCATTCAATAAGCCAGATTCTGAATGGAAGTAGAATGCGTGCCGCAATCCAAAAGGCCTAATTGGAGCGAAGACTTTATCTTTTTTATCCTTTTCCTCACAAAAATCCGTCATTCACTCTTACCGCATAAACAAGGCCATAAGAACTTTTATTTGTTTTGCCTCTACGATCAATCTCATGGAAATTGTGATTGAGAGCTTGATTTAATTGTTCCCTCTTTAAATATCGTATTTCAAGAACGACATGTGCATTCAATAAAACTTTCTCCATCAGAATGAAAGTGCTCATGAGGGACCAGGAGCAGGGCAGTTTTAGCCCTTGGAAAAGGGCTGGTGGTCGTTCTCTGTGTGCCCACCCACCGTCTTCCGTTCCTCACGTCATGCCGTGGCATTGCCGAGTCCTTTCACGTCATCTGCGCATGTCCGCAGATCGATGGTGACACGAACGCTCATCAGCCCTTTTTCCTCAGGCCGTTGAAATGTTTTCCTCGTAATGACGTCGCCCCGTCAAGTGAGATGGCGGGGACGTGTGATTAATGAGATGTCACTAAGATGGTGTGATAAACTGAACAATATCTAGTGGACTGGATGAGATGCGCCATGCTTGCGATGTAGCGCTATATTGTAGAATCGATGGGATGGGTCTGCTGTTGCTTGTGACAGCTTTCCTCAGGCCATTGTCGCCTTCCTATTAGCGTACATCGCCGTTGTGCCAATCCCTTCAGCGAAGGGCGTGATCGTGACTTCGTAAAAAATTCCCCGACAGCTTTTTTTTCTTGTTTCAAGAACTTTCCATGCACTCAACTCGGAAAGGGGATCGCTGGTTGGTAATGCTGATTTTTGTGCACACTGAATACGAATGGCTTTCTCAGCAGTCCTTGCCGCGCCGTACCAGCTGTCTACTACCCGCCCCATATTCTACATTTCCGGAATTCCTAGTCGCCGGTGGACATTGGTAGACGCTGCTGGTCGCTAGATCTATACGACTCCCCTAGCCCTAGATTTATATCTGCACCTTCCTAGTCGCTGGCGCTACCGGACGCTCGGAACCCTACCGATCGCTGGTGAACGCTGCCGCGAAGTACGAACGCATCTCAGCCCTTACGCTTTCCGTCCAGTTTCCATGTCGGCCCACCATGACCAGCTACGAAGCCGAAGAGGCTAGATCGTAGCGACCATGAGGAAAATGGTCTTCTAGCACAACTCTCTACCACACCACCGCAATCTCTATAACAACTCCTTTGAATCCCCGTCAACCTCAGCTCTCAACTGTTCCTAATTTCATCACGGCTTGCCTCCAATCCCCAAGGAAGCTTGCGGACAGTGGGGAAATACTTCATGAGACACCAAATTTTCCCTTGCCAAACCCTTCAGACCAGAGCTAGCTCCTTACAACAAGTGCCCCTCACACATATCAGTTGCTCCTGTATGATGAAAGGCTCAGCCATCCCCTTCCAGTCCCCTTCCTCTGGCAATGCCCGTCTCCTGGCTCGCCATGTGCCCTTCGTTTCTTTCGATGGTCTGACAGCACTGTTTACAGAACTCTTCTTAACCGGACATGCTCTCGCTGCAACGGTCAAGAGATGTTTTCTCTACTTCGGATTAACCCCTCAGCCCCTCTTTGACTCCTCTCAGCAGGTCGAACATGACCCTCCTCTAGCACCAACGGCCTGCTACTTTGGAATTTCTCAACCACGATAAGTAACGATAAGATCAACGAGCCAGCAGTGCAGAGCGACCAGAGGGACGTGACTTCTGCGTTTTTACTGCTCACCAGAGTGCGCTTTTTATGGACGTTGAATGGAACAGTAATTGAATGCTTAATAGCCACGCTTTTCAGTTTCAGTACTACGTCACATTCAATTAAATTAGGGAACTCAATCAAGGGACCTATTATTTCATACGGTATTAAAAAGTATATTGAAGACACTCATTCTTTGAAATTAACTGAATCACATCATTATTCATACTTCAAACTCTCACCTTCTAATCGTTACTCTTAGTTTCAGAGGGAAGCCTACGTTTGCACCTCAGTACCCCTGGACCCTGAATCGGAGCATTATATCAGTAAGTTATGTATGAGTTACTGTATCAGTAGACTTTTCTCAACCCGTTGAATTTCAGCTGGATACAAGCCACAAGTCGAAGCAAAGAACGCTCATCACATACTGCTGTTCGGATGTGAAGAACCCGGAAGTGACGAGGAAGTCTGGTGAGAGATAGCTCTGTACTCGCAAATTAATTTAGCGGCTTCTGAAGCTCGTTATGAAGGACTCCTTATAGCGGTAAAAAATAGCACATTCAGCCAGGGCACGTCCTTTGCTGTGGAACCCCAAGCGGGGTTACTATTTGGTCGTTGAAGAGCGTTTGTAGGTGGTCCGAGAAATTTTTTGATAGATGATTTTTCATGTTTTACGTGCACTATCCGCAATGCTTGTTTTTGAACTCACCTCCCACTCGAACTGAAGGGAGAGGGGTCGTTGGGGTTGTACCAAAGGAGGAGTTCACGGGGAGGGGGGCGTCCTTTGTAAAAAAAACTCCCCCAGCAACAGTAAGCGTCCTGGTTATAGCACTATCTTACGCCGCTCTTCCAAGCAGTAGTCGTACTGAACGGCACATTATCGTAGTTACAATTCGTGAGCTCTGAGGGTACAAATATGAGTTCGCAGATATTGTCAGGTTGAAGAAAAGAGTGGACAAGGCCGTCGACGTGCCCTAAGTAAGTCTTATGATGGACGACAGTTCCAAAAAGCGAGACACTGCTGCGCAGGCGAGAGAGCAGAAAATGAACGAGAGAGGAAGAAGGTGAAAGAGAGAGAGCAAAGATTGGTCATACCCAGAATGAAGACAGCGCGTCACACCTAAGTTTGTAAATCTAGGACCGCTGGAATATCTCGTCCACAAATTGGTGAGGCAACTTCCTAAGGGGGGGGGTCCTACGACCTATAACCTGAGCAGCGCCCTTATCAGTCGCTACGGAGCCGCTAAGGTGCGGCAAGTTCGGAGATTGCGGTCTTGGTTATCTGCAGAGCGAGAAGTTTGCCTATCAGGTAATCGAGGAATGTGGCTTTACCCTTCATGCCCACTTTTCATCGCAAATATGGGGTGTCTCGATTGCTCAGGAAAAAATTCTCACATTACTGTAACATTACAACATTACAACATTTCCGCGCTTCTTCGCACTAATTTCGAGCCCTTCAGGACCTACAACCGTCCTCTTTCAGACCCTAGATGCTAAAATATTGTTCAGCTATCCATGATCGACTTTCAATGAATCTTGGCA